TTTGCTCAATGCGCTTCCTGCGAGAGCGCTGCATTGACACACACACAAATTTTCTCGTTGCGGCAGTGATGGAAAACGAAAACTTATACTATTTACTCGTACCTATTTTGCTTCGTTTGCCAGGTTTAAATTTTTTCAGTTTTGATATGTTCGTTCCATTTCGATAAAGGTCTCAAATAATCTTTCTTTTGTCAAGTTAGCTGGAAGATATTCTACTAACTTCCTTTGCTCAAAGTGGTTTTAATGAATAGAATTACATAGTATATATGTAGAGCATGCGTTGCCTTTATGACGTTCTCCATACAAAAGAAAACACAATTCACTCAACTCTCAGTTCATGACGCAATGGAAATTGATGTTGCTAAATATCATCAGCTCCATCGGAAGAAGGTATTTCCTTTTTGCATACCCGATTAATCGCTGGCGTATAGAGATGACATGGACATCTTCGGCCTCAAGGAATGTACCTTTTGTGCTGCGTTCTCAAAGCTATAGACTGCGAACTGGCTACGTATCGCAAGGGGTCACTCGGTAAAGTAGAAGTTTTAACATTTGCAGGTTCGGGTGTTACCGATATAGCGAGAGGCCGGCGGTGTTCTCATTCATGCTGTCGCGCAAATCGGGATACCTAAAGTTTTACGCCGCCTCCGGAAGGTAAATGGTTTTTATGAGAAACGCTTCATGGCAGAAGTACACTGGGAGATTTGCCTTTAGCTCCCGATCGATGTTGTATCGTAGATATTACCGCCAAATGTGATAATAAAGAATCGGGAGTGGCGTAGAGCGAGATATCCTTGAACTTTCTACGGGATTTCGATGACATTCTTCCTAAAACAAAACTGATTGAAATTGGAATTATTCTGGTTATGCATTTTTGAGGCAGGAAAATGATAATTTTTGAATATTATTATGAAAAACCTCAGCAAAACGAAGAAACTTTAAGGCTAAATGAAAAAAACTTAACTTGGTGCTTTCGTTTGGCGCTGGTTAGCCAAGAGGAAGGCGAAACGACTGTTTTGCTACGCTAAATTCCGTCAAAATTGTTTAAGCGTTGATAGCGCCGCCAAAGGAAACGAAACAGTAGTGCAATCAGCGATTCGACTTGGATGTCTCAAGAAAACCCTAAATTTGCTTGAGCTTCCTAATCAAAAAACAACGGCGCTTTTAGAAAGAGAACTATCTATCACCGATCAGTTACTTGCTGTCTCCACAGGCAAAACTTTTTATATTTTTTCCCAAGGAGACCGCATATCCATGGCGTCATAATTAGTGATATTTTAATATGAAAGCAAAAATTTTTCTGCTTTCTATTAAACTGTTTTTTATGTACTTGGGTGTGAAATAGCAAATTTTCTAAATTTTGGAAGTGATTAAATCCGGCAAAAATACTTGTTGAAAGCCATCTTACAAATCCTTTTATCAGTTGGTAGGCAAAAACGTTTGCCTGTGGAGACGGACCGTTAGGGAAGTACTTTTATACAATAGACTCATTACTTTACTCATTAATCAAATGATATCAAGGAAACGGTGCAAATATTCTTTTTCCAATATGTATTGGGAACTATGTAGGAGCGCTGATACCCAAATACTCTACATTGCTGGCTCTTACCGTAAAGGTTTGCAAATACATATGGCTCGTTCCACGGTGACGGGTGTGACATTTCAACTCACATTTTAAGGTTTAATTTTTAAACTGTAATGTAAAATTATTTACAACGAGTATTCTCTTATAGATTTCCGAGGTATACACAATGTCTAAAAAAAAAATCAAAAACAATTTAATCTAAACGAGTTATATGAATTTTAGTCACTGTGGCTGGTGTGACGAGTACGCAAACCAAATTAGCTACTACTTACGTGTATCAGAGTTTTTCTGCTAATCGTGTCTTCTGCTCATGGTTCTAAGTAATTCTTGTATAGTTAAATAAACATTCTCAACTTCTACGCCAAAGTTTCTTAGCTCTATTGGAAGTAATACATTACTAACTTTATTTGTCAAAAAATCTGATTTTATGAACACATAAAAATGTATGCCACCTTTAGACGGGATAATCATTGATCGGGCTCTTCGTCTCTATTGTCTGTCTGAGTCATTGTAAAGTACCTTATTTTTAAATAGTATGAGGCTGTTACCTATCAAACCGAAGATATTACCTGTCAAACCGTATGAGATACTGTTTTTGCCCTGATAAGTGACAGAAAAGCTTAAGTTTTCCCATCGCTCGAGCAACATATCTTCATGATTAGTTTAATCATCGGTGATCACAAACAGATATATGACACATTTCAGATTAGCAGATGAGTAACGGTAGCAGTCCCTGGCCAAATATATTAAAATTTGTCAAACTTTAAATTGTGACGGGTGTGACATGTGACGGGTGTTACCAACATAATCTTGTTTTTTTTTTCGAAAATAAAAGCATAATAAATACTAAATAGCGATTCGCGCATGTTAGCCTGTGTCATAGCGTTACTTTCATCAGCTTTTTACACTGTCTAAGATTTGTTTTCCTTCAAAAATAACTATTTTGTGTATTTTGTGACGGGCGTGACATTAAAATATACTTTGCTTCAATATATAATAAAATATTTAGTACTTGCTGGAAAATTACACTGTTACAATGCTGACGAATTGTTCTCTCTATTGGCCGCTTAAACAATGTAAAAAAGACAATAGACTACGAAAATCAGTCTTGTCCAATCTTGAAGAAAATTAACCTCTCATATCGAGCCCTAACCGCTAAAATAACGTGAGCGACATTTTTTTGAAAATTTTCTTTTTGATGCAGAAATATTCCTAGAGCATCTAGATGCATTTCTGCATCAAAAAGAAAATTTTGAAAAAAAATTTCGCTTACGTTATTTTTGCGGTTATGGCTCGATAGGAGTTTGTAAATGGTACAACATAAAGTAAAAAAAAATCGGATTTTGAGAAATTTCGAAATTTTAGCTTTCAGTCTTGAAAAATGGATTTATTTACTCTTACTTACTAGAAATAATACACTCAAGTTCTTAAGTTTATTTTCGTTTCATTCGGTATCGATTACCGTGGAATAGCCATATGTACAATTGTTTCAGCTTTTCCATCACTCTGGCACTCACGCGCACTTTGTGCCAGTGACTGCATTTTTTGCACACACACACACACGCACATCACATCGACTTGCATTCGCGCTGTTGGCGCCGTCGTTTGGCAGCTGCTGCCGTTGTTGAGTCTATCAACATGTTTTTTGTTGCTGTTTGTTTTTTTTTCTGCTGTTTGCGTTTTTAAATTCGCTCACACTTCCATGTGTACATAATTCGTTTTTTGCCATTTTCGTGATATCAGCAAAACAAATTTGTGTGCGTGTGTGTTTCCTGCATGTGCGCATGAATGAATATTGCAGTGAGTGTGTGTGTGTGTTTGCTTTCACACAAATGTGTTGCACATTTTTTTATTGATTTTCATTTTTTTGGGTGGTTGTTGGCGGCTGGTTTTAAATTTCATCCGTTTTTTCTGCCAAGCCCTTATACCACTCGGCTCTTTTCGGTTTGTGGTGTGCGAGAAATTTCCGATACATTCGTTTTTTTGGCAACGTTGTTCTTTATTTAATTGTTTGTGCTTTTGTAGCGATTTATTGTGTAGTTGTTGTTGCACTAGCATACGCTTTCGCCGCAACCTCCCCACAAACACTTTTTTCTCCACCATTGCAGTTTTTGCCTTCTGTTTTTTCTGTGTCGGCTTGGCTTTTGTATTCTTATTTTCCTCGCTGGCGTCAATGTGTTTTCATAAATTTTTTTTTTTTTAATTTTTTAATTTTTTTGCTCGTTGTCTTGTGCTATTGTTTTATACCTACATACCTACAATTTTATTTTTCCACGAGTGTCTTGTTGTTGCTGCTTATTGACACCATGCGCCTCGTATTTTTTACGTTGCCACTTGTGCGAAAAAAATAAAATGTTTTTTCCGCTGCTGTTTTGCATCTTTTTTTCGCAACGTGTGTGAATTTCACTTTTTGTGTGCTGCAGGCGCCAATTGCAGTCAGTTTTTTGTAGTGTCTGTTTTTTCTGTTTACCTGCTCTGTTATTGTTGTTATACACGCGTTTCATAGGTTTTTTTTTTGGTTCTTTGTTTTTTAACAGCAATTGTTGATTCATGAAAAATTGAGCAATTGCCAAGTTGGCCCAGTAAGCGAAATACAATGCGCTACCGGCAACGTATCGACTGGACAACAAAAATAGCCAAATTATTAGTATCTCTTTGATAGGGATGGCAAAAAATAAATAAAATAAAATAATCGATTAATTAATCATTTGATTAATCACAAGCCAAATCAAATTAAGCGTGATAATTGAGAAATAAACGATTAATAAAATTTTTAAAGGCATGTTTTACAGTGAGTATTCACAAAAAAACCTCTATAAACAAATTTTAATTATCTTGTTAATTAGCATTAAATAAAAAAATCGATTAATAATCGTAACACAAAAATACGATAAAATGAAATCGTAAATTGAACAAAAATAATCGATTAATTTAATCAACTGATTAATCGGTGGCATTTACAGAAGGTCGTGGGTTGGTTATGGTTACTGTACTTGTAGCGGTTACTCAGCCCTGCCTAAAATTGGATAATCTCTCAATCCTTGTCTCATATATTACTTAAAGCGTTTTAGGTTATATGTTCTTAAAAATACTTGTCCGAGTTGTAATTTCTTTGAGCCTCTTCCTCCAGCCGGGCCAGGGTAGAGAGTACCCCCTTTCCTATGCCCCGGAAGTGCTCACGGGTTATCTGAATTTTTATGGCGATAGATGTTCAAAATTGACTTGATAAATTAACAAATTTTGTTAAAGTAAAGAAGAAGAATAGATAAGGTAAAAAAAAATTGTTTTTCGTTTTAAATTAGTACAATCGAATTGTTGATAATGCAAAAATGATATTTCACTACTTATTTCTTGTTTACTTAGCCCCGAAAATTTCGCAAGGCGCCAACTGACCAATTTTTTCTTTAATTTCCAGCTGACACAACGTATATTAAGCTGACGAAAAAAAAATTTAGCTGGCGCCACCAACCAACCAACGAACCAACCAACCAGTTAACCCAGACTGGCAATTGGCCAAGCCGCAAAGCAAAGAAATTCGCCGCAGTTTTTTACCTATCGCCGTACGTCTAACACACGCACTGTTGCCTAGCACCTGACGAACGTGTAATGCGCGCACTTCGAGCGACTTTACACCTACGCATAGCCTAATACGTCCACTCCTCACCAGAAAAATGGCTGAACTTCCTGTACCTACGAGCGATTACCTACATCGTTCTATTGATCAGCTACGCTCGATGAATGAGCGCAACGTACTCTCATCGCTGAGTCACCATCTAACGCCAATGGAATTGCGCAATGCCGCACAGTTGGCAGCGCACGATTACAAGCCATTCAATATCAATGAGTTTCGTCAGAATGTTGAACGTTTGGATTACTCGTTGAAGAATGGCCTTATACAACAGCAGCAGCAATTGCTTGCCGATCATCAGCAACAGCAACAGCAGCAACATCAACAACAACAACAAGCGCAGAACAACAACAGCAACATCTTCAACAGCAGCAGGCGCACAACAACAACAGCAGGCGCAGCAACAAGCAGCGGCGCATCAGCAACAGCAGCAACAACAACAGCAGCAGCAACAGCAGTTACAGTTAAAACAATCATACAGTCCACCAAATTCACCGGCCACACCCACCATGACCGAACAGCCGGAACAGAAGGTGAGTAACCAATAAAAAAACAATCCTGTGGGCTGAACTTCAAACCTATCGAGATGTTATTGCCCTCGAATCGCTGCTCTGATAAAGAGGGTGCTCCTGTAAAATCGTTAAAAAAGGCGACGAAAACTTCGGAACTTGGCTATATGCACGCACCTCTTGCTACCACAGTGTCCAACGCCATAAACACTCAGGTACCTCGTCAACTCAAACGCAACAGCGCATGCGAGAGGACGGTCCTGGTAACGTTTAAGTATTCAAAGGCTTTCAATACTGTTATCCAAATCTCTCTATTTGGGGCCGCCGAGTTATCCTCCCATCCCGCTGATATGAAACGGTACACAGTGAATTATCTCAGCGGGAATCGCCAGACATTGCGAACCACTAGACAATTCCTTTGATCTCCTGGGCGGCACAGATTAGCTTAGGTTATAGTGATTGCCCCCAGATACGTGCCGGTTAGGCACCCGTGTGGCCACAGAGACATTCAAGACGAGCTTGCGAGTAAGGGAACCATCCTGTCTGACGTCAACTCTTCGAATGCAGCGGCCATACCTCTATTTACCTGTAAGTCGTGGCTCAGGACATTATTCTTTGAAAAGGCAGACAGAAGATGGTCGGAAGGGCCCGACATATCTGGCCCAGCCTTGACAAGAAAAGATCCGGCGCAATCATTCGATTAGAACGCCGTCTGCTAAGGCTGGTGACCGGCATCATTGCGGACCACAGCTTAATGGGAAGGCATGCTAGCAGAATGGCCGCTCAATGACTTCTGCCGTAGTTGCCGCGACGTGGACCAAATCGAGAGTGTGGAGCAATACCTGTATCACTGCCCTGCCCTAATAAGGGCGAGAAGGCACTCATTTAACCACCACTTTTTTGTCTGTCTCGTCGATCTAAGTGAAGCGGTGATAGGTAACAAGATCAACGGAAATAAGGTCAATTGGCATTACTTTTGCGAAATAAAGACAATTGACATTATTACCATTTCAAAAGCGAAATAAAATCCACTCAAATTATTGCTCTTTACAATATTCCACGACACTTTCTTTTCCAAAATCAGGATGAAGGACTTGACCGTCTTAGAGAGTTACAGGCGAACACCTTACATCGAGAAAAAGGTTGCATTGAGGACCTCCTACTTCCTAGTGAATAAGACCAGTTCTGTCTTGCCTTGATTACCGGTGAGGCTGCAGTTAGCCAGTCACTAGGTTTAGGTAGTCTTGGGTTATCTCGTATAGGGTGCCTCGTTGTTGGCTTAGGTAATCCGACAGCACCTCTTCTCCAGGAAGTCCTTAATGAGCACGCTTCAAATCAGCGGTCAGAGGGATAACTCTTTGTAAGGTACCTCTGTCCAATCTACACTGAGCCTAAAGAAGTTGGTTTGCATCCGACTAGATGTTGTTAAATGCCCCAACGATGTCCAGAACGAGCCGCTACTGCAAGGAGTGAAGGCTTGACTCACTCTTTACTATAAGTATGAACCAAAAAAAAAAAAAAACTTTGACTTACCATCCCATCAGTTAAACACTACCTTTGATAATTATTTTTTAGCGCTGCCATTTTGCGCAAATTTTTAATAGTACCTCCTCTTTCCCATTCTTCTCGTTTCAGTATGATCCACATGCAGCCGCTGTAGAACAGCAGCAGCAGCAGCAACAACAACAACAACAACAGCTACCCGTCAGCCATAAACAGCCACGCAATCAGCAAGGTTCCCCCGATGGTCGCGACGCAAAGCCTTATAAATGCACGCAATGTACGAAAACCTTTGCTAACTCCTCGTATCTATCGCAGCACACGCGCATCCATCTCGGCATTAAACCGTACCGCTGCGAGATCTGCCAACGCAAGTTCACGCAGCTATCACACCTGCAGCAGCACATCCGCACCCATACTGGCGACAAGCCTTACAAGTGCCGCCATGCCGGCTGCCCCAAAGCCTTCTCGCAGCTCTCCAATCTGCAATCGCATTCGCGCTGCCACCAAACGGACAAACCCTTCAAATGCAACTCCTGCTACAAATGCTTCACCGACGAACTGACTCTGCTCGAACACATACCCAAGCACAAAGACTCGAAGCACCTGAAGACGCACATCTGTAACTTGTGCGGCAAGTCGTACACACAGGAAACCTACCTGCAGAAGCATTTGCAAAAGCACGCCGAGAAGGCGGAGAAGCTGCAGCAGCGGCATGCAAATGCGAATAGCAACGCGCAACACCATGTGCCCAGCAGCAGCGGCATGCAAATGCGAATAGCAACGCGCAACACCATGTGCCCGCCGGCGGCATTGGCCTCAATTTGCAGCGACAGGTTGTGATGAATGCCGCCGCGGCCGCTGCAACAAGCGACCCCAATTCGTATTGGGCCAAAGTGGGCGCCGATAGCGCAGTGAATGCCGCCACGCTGGCCGATGCTATACAGCAACAACAACAGCAAGCAGCCGCCGCCGCTGCAGCAGCCGCAGCGGCCGCACAACAGCAGCAACAGCACGCGGTGCAGAATGGCTACAACTTCGCAGCGCTGCAGCAACACCAACAACAACAACAGCAGGAACTGTTGCAACACCACCAGCGACTGGTGAACGGCGGCGCGGGTAGTGGTGGCGATAGCGCCGGCAGCGGCAGCACGCCCAATCACTCACAATCGCCCAACGACGAGGGAGAAGATCTGGTGATGCGCCAAACGCCGCAACATCACCTGCAACAACAGCAGCAGCAACAACAACAACAACAACAACAGCAGCATCAACACCAACAATCGCATTCGCCCAATCCGCTGCTGATGGGCAACGCAGCGGCAGCAGCAGCGGCGGCGGCGGCCGCAGCCAACTACGATGTGAAAACAACCAGCGCCTTTACGCCCATCAACACGGCGCCGACACATTTGAACGCGCTGGCTGCGCAACAGCGTCCACCCGCCGCCGCAGCGTACCTGTACCAGCAAAATGCGGCTGCAGCAGCCGGTTTTCCAACGCAACTCATCTCGCTGCACCAGATACGCAACTATGCGCACCAGCCAAGCGCAGCGGCTGCCGCCGGGCTGTTGGCCGGCGATCACCTGCTCGGCTTGACTGGTGTGACTGCGGGCGGTACCGGCAAGGATAAGGGGCAATAGTACGGCGCGCATCACAGCGGTGATGGCAACAATAACAGCGGGTGCCGAGATAGCGGCGGCGGCGTCGGTGGTGGTAGTAGTAAAAGGAAATCGAAAAAGCGGCAATATGAGCGCGCACGTGAACGCAGTTGAGTTGGCGGCGAGGAGGAGAGGAAAGGAAGGCACAGATTTCTTGGTCAGCCGGCAGGAGGGCGTGCAGCGTAGTGAGGCCGTAAGCATGGCGGCGCGCAGCGGCAGACCTAAAGCAATAATAGGGTAACAGCACAAACACTCAGGTTTTAAAGATGATTTCAACAAAGCAGCAATAGTAGAAAACGAAACAAAGCAAAGCGTACAAGAAAAAAACAACAACAACAACAACAAAACAATCTACAGTAAAGTAGACGCAGCCGAAGCATTTAGCTGCTGGCAGCAAATTAATTTGCGCCGCAAATTATACAGAAAAAAAAAACGAAAATAAAAACAAGACAAAAAATAGCTAGCAAACAGAGAATGCTGATAATCTTTGCTCCCACAATTTATCAACACTACTTACATATGTATGTACATTCTATCCACTGCTTTCGGCTCTTGCTTGCATGCCTGTATATACATACATATGTACATATGTATCTCCATAGAAATCAGGCACCTGCACCTTTCACATCTCTTCGGAGCAGGTGCTTCTCTTCATCATCATCTCCGTTACCTTTCTGTCTTTTAAACACACACCTTCTGCGCTCATCCTTGCGGCATTGCGCAAGCGCGCATTTACAGTATACAAATTCTACAAATTGTAGCCCTATTTTAAAGGTAAATAATTGTAGTTATCGATTAGTTACTCGTCTAGCATTTAGGTAATCGTATCGTATTATAGTAAAAGTAGTTTGATAAGCCGAATTTACTTTATGTAGTAAGCGTTAGTAGCTAGAATTAAGCTGTATTGAGATAAAAAGTTCCAACTTATTCGTATGCTAAATATTTTTTTTATTATTTATGTATGTAAATGTATTTCTATTAGGGCTGTGCGATTATTCGATTACTCGAGCAAGTTGGTTAATCAATTATTCGGTTAATCAATTACTCGAGTAATCAAGATTTCGATTACTCAAAACGATGATTAATCAAGTTACTTGAAATATGATTACTCAAAAAAAATAATTTTGCTCGTTAATAGAGTTTGCTTTGGAAAATGCTTANCATTTAGCTGCTGGCAGCAAATTAATTTGCGCCGCAAATTATACAGAAAAAAAAAACGAAAATAAAAACAAGACAAAAAATAGCTAGCAAACAGAGAATGCTGATAATCTTTGCTCCCACAATTTATCAACACTACTTACATATGTACATTCTATCCACTGCTTCTCTACTCCCCATCTTCGTATGTATGTTTTAAGCCGCTTTCGGCTCTTGCTTGCATGCCTGTATATACATACATATGTACATATGNAATGCTGATAATCTTTGCTCCCACAATTTATCAACACTACTTACATATGTATGTACATTCTATCCACTGCTTTCGGCTCTTGCTTGCATGCCTGTATATACATACATATGTACATATGTATCTCCATAGAAATCAGGCACCTGCACCTTTCACATCTCTTCGGAGCAGGTGCTTCTCTTCATCATCATCTCCGTTACCTTTCTGTCTTTTAAACACACACCTTCTGCGCTCATCCTTGCGGCATTGCGCAAGCGCGCATTTACAGTATACAAATTCTACAAATTGTAGCCCTATTTTAAAGGTAAATAATTGTAGTTATCGATTAGTTACTCGTCTAGCATTTAGGTAATCGTATCGTATTATAGTAAAAGTAGTTTGATAAGCCGAATTTACTTTATGTAGTAAGCGTTAGTAGCTAGAATTAAGCTGTATTGAGATAAAAAGTTCCAACTTATTCGTATGCTAAATATTTTTTTTTATTATTTATGTATGTAAATGTATTTCTATACAATATCTATGATTTGTAAACTTCTTTACGATTTTGTTAAACAAAATCTCATAAATTTTATTTCGAAAACTTGTATCAAAAGCACGCATTACGTAAAATTTTTTGAGCCTGCTTAATAATTACATATTTGTAGTAAGAATTTACGAATCCCAATNTACAATATCTATGATTTGTAAACTTCTTTACGATTTTGTTAAACAAAATCTCATACATTTTATTTCGAAAACTTGTATCAAAAGCACGCATTACGTAAAATTTTTTGAGCCTGCTTAATAATTACATATTTGTAGTAAGAATTTACGAATCCCAATAAAAAATACTTAGCTAAAAAACATGTATGCTTTATTTTTTGTAAACCTTAAACTTCTTCAAAAAAAAAAAGTACTTACTAGATTCAGTAGTTAGTTCTCGAGAATATTTAAAAAAGTTAACTTAACTCACAAATGCGCCAAAAATGCTTTATTACTCTGCAAGAAAATCTATTGCACTTCTAGAAGCTATACATTTGTACAGCGCAATTGAATGAGACCGCAGATTTTCCTTTATAAATGACACAGGATGCGCATATCAGATTTTTCCGTGACTTTCGCATAGTTCGGGCTGGATATCATTTATAACGCATATGACTTCGCAGTTCAGCTCTGCAGTCGTATCGGGCTTATTGGCATAGAAAACGCTCGTAGCTATAATTTTCTTTGGATTCCAAAAATGGGTACTGCTGTTTGTTTGGCAAATACTACATTTATACGAAAAAAAAAAAATACTTTTTTTGCCACCTCATATCAAAACAAGTAAGAAAGTCTAAGTTCGGACGGAGCCGAACATTATATACCCGGCGCAACTATTAAATATATCATTTTCACCTTTCCGAAAACTACCGCTTCATAGTAAGCAGAGGTGGTTTTACCCCCATTTTAAACATCTTCGATAGAACGTTCAGTTAGAAATAATGAGGTAAACTGATATAGTCATATGTGGGCGGTATCACGCCCATTTTATAAAATTCTAAACAATGTTACTTCTTTTCAAAAGATTCATACTAACATGAATTTGGAGTAAATTAGCGTTCTTGAATTTCGAAATATCGAAGTTTCAAACAGTTCTGAAATTTACCGTTATATGAAAAGTGACCATAATCCATAATCCGATTTCAATAATTTTCAACGTTTTGCTTTAACGTGGCATGCTCAATAACTATACCGAGTTTGGTACAAATTGGTAAAACGGTTATCGAGATACATATATGTGATCATAGGTGGGCGTTGCCATGCCCATTTTCCAAAATTTTATCGCAAACGTATTTCTTGGAGAGAAATATTGCAAACATAAATTTTGAATAAATTTAAAAATAATAAGACAATAGAGCTTTAGTATTTACTGATTTATCGAAGATTTCGTATTTCTCTAAATTAATGTTATATGGGATGTGGGCGTGTTTATTGTCCGATTTTAAAAAATTTTCAGCCATTTGGTATGATGCACCAAGGCCAACAACTGTGCCCATTTTCAAAAAAATTATGTCTTAATTTTTTGTCTAAAAATTATTGTACATAGATATCAATTTTGAGTGAATACTCTTAAGTAGCTGTTAAAATATTACAGTTTTCGTATCTCTGAAAACTACCGTTATATGGGAGGTAGGTGTGGTTATAGTCCGATTTTGCCCTTTTTCAATACCATCCGTACTACGCCCGAAAAAATTACACGTACCAAATTTCGTTAAGATATCTCAATGTTTACTTGAGTTATCGTGTGCACAGGCGGACGGACAGACAGTCACGGCTTAATCGATTTCTCTTTTTATTCTGATGATTTATGTATACATTTGTATACGGTAAACCTGCATCAAGGTCAAGGTGTGTCTGTCCGGTGTCATTCGCATCGATTACCGTGAAAAGGGGAAAACGGTCCGCGGAGACTTTATTTTAAGCTGATAGACAGATTCGATATTGATATGAAGCATATCCCCTTTCTTTAGGTTCATCCTACGCCTCCTTAAACATTGGTTGCATTCGCGTACCTGATAATTATTGAAAGTCATCAAAAAGTAGCAGCTTTTTGCGTTCGCGTACGCAAAAAACTTGCAAAGTAAAGGAAAATTGAGAGAGAAAAGTAACATTTTATTTTATATGTTTGCCAACAGCAAGACAGCTGATCAAAAACAGCTGGTTGGAATTTACGTAAATCACAAAATTTAATTTTATGGTTTGAAAGTTAAAAATGGTAAACTTGTAAGATGTAAGTAATTCTTCGTTTAATCAATAAACTGTGTCAGGATACCACTTTGGGATGAGTTTTCGTACGTTTTCAATTTTACACTTTTGAATGTAAACAAAAATTCTATCAGCTGTTCAACTAACTTACATGTTTCTGCAAATTTTCTGTTCGCGTACTATTCTGGATATTTTTCTCTTATGAGAGGACAGATGACATTTCGCTGGCATTTTGGTGTTGGATCTTTTTTACTGGAGATTTTATACGAATATAAATACAGTATAGAATAATAAATTTTAAATATGTAGTTAGGGAGAGGCTAAATTTTAACACGGAAATGTTCTTTTATACTTTTAAACAACATGCCAAAGGTCCAAATCGACACAAGTGTAGCTAGAGGCTTTAAGCGGGTTCAAAGGTCACAACAAAATGATTTTCCTGTTAACCGTTACTTTTACAAAAATGTGATGGTACACACGTTTGTATTTTTAAGTCACTTTTTCCCCGTAAGACTAATGGTTTTCTAGGAAATTCCAATCAAAAAGTTTTATCCAACACTGTATACCAACTATATATGTACGCTGATATCTCCGTAACGCTCACTTCTCCGCACCCCCAAGTAGTTGCTCGCGACATTGACTGTGGGAACCTTAGGCATGCTAGGCATCCCTTACCTACAGTATGTATTAGGGCTATGCATTATTTGATCTTCCTGATTTCTAATAAGGTTGTAGTGCCAAAAGCAAAACTCTCAAAATTGCCCTAATTATTCCGGAGTTAGGTTTTTTTTTTTTGTCTTTATTCACTTTGAACTTTGCGTACAAAATATGTATATTTTTTCTTTATTATGAAAAATTTATTTTTTTTATCGCAAAATATCGACATTACCTTCCAACGAAGTACGAATTGTTATTGATCGGATTTACCAGTAAAGTCATGAATGACATCATATCCAGAAAACACAGAAAAATATTATTATCTGAAAAAGCTGCCCAACGAAAAAGTAAAAAAATTCGTTTTGAGCTCAGGAAGTCCATACTTATTCTCCCCTATACATGAGTTTCTTGGTATTTTTTTCAAGATAATTATTCGTAAACTAGTGTTAAAGAACTTAGAAAAAAATTTAAAAAAAATGCGGCACTTATTAGGAAAAAACTTAAACAACTAATAGCTTTTGAAGCTAAATTTTGCATGACTATGAATTTATATCAGGGACCGTAACAGCTATGACCTTTATAACAAAAATCATAATTTTACCCTTAAAACTGGATTTGTATTTTTCCGATTAAATTTAGTCTTCATTTTATGATTTTTATTTTGTCAATAAAAAATAAGCATTATTATTGCATTCTTATTTTTTCGATTAGCCCATAACTGTTATTTTTAGTTTTAATTTTCTAATTCAGTCTTCGTTATAACGATTAAAAATTACTAGATAAATAAAAATTCAAAATAACCAATTATCTCCGATGATAAAAATACAAATAAAACGTTTTCGCAGTGATCTAAATATAAAATCTTGATATTTAAAGGTTATTTTTGGTCCCTGATTTATATGCATAGTTTTTAATAATGTGTACATATGCCAAGTTATATCAGATACTTTACTTTGTATGTAGAACAATATGAAAGGATCCCAATAAAAAATTTAAGTGCTGATATTTTAAGCGCCACCCTAATTTGTATAATAACGAACTCACAAAGGCGGATTTTGTTTAGTTTAAAATTAAAAAAAGTACCATAAAAACACCGAAAACCCACAACTATGGGTGCTTGAAATTTTCCAATATCGCTCAAAGCCGTATTCACAGCACATAGTAGTATTGACAACGATTTAGCTATCGAATTTTTATTCACAGTTGTGATAAAAGCTATGATAAAAATTGTATTGTTTCTGTAGAAGAAAAAAAGTTTTCGATTTTACTGCGCATCTACATGCAAAAGTAATTCTAAAAATTTAAAAAATGTTTTAAAATGGGATTTACATGTTTTTTTTTAGTATAGAATATGCTATATTTAAAAAAAAGTAATGAGTATAAAATAAACGAAAGGAAAACTGTCAATACTGTGGATCAAAGGGGCGCTATTCAAGTGGCCGGCACTGTAGGTGTTCGTAAATTNAGTATAGAATATGCTATATTTAAAAAAAAGTAATGAGTATAAAATAAACGAAAGGAAAACTGTCAATACTGTTGATCAAAGGGGCGCTATTCAAGTGGCCGGCACTGTAGGTGTTCGTAAATTTTATTGATTATAAATCGATTACAGTTAGAAATAATGAAAAATTTTGTTTACAATTAAAGGGGGAAAAAATCAGAAGTAATTAATAGAAAAAATAAATCCATTTTCATTTCATAAAATTAATTTTGATCATACCCTTTTCAACTGATACGGAAAAGTTCTTTATTTTACAAGGTAAAAATAACCAAAATTAAATAGTCAATGGCAAGATTTTATTATTCCTAATAATTTTTTTTTTTAATAGCCTATGCCCATTATTATTTATTCAGTGAATGATCCTAAATTTAGTAAATTACTTATCGTAGTTAAAATTCAAAATCTGTTTTTAGTTAACTGAAAATATAGCGCTCATTATTTTGGGTTTTCTAAAAATGTCTACAATAAAAATATGCACATATATAGTACATATGTATGTACATAAGTATTTGAAAGTGAAGCTGACGCAAATCCGACCAGATTTCTGAGGAAGAATGTTCAAGAAAATCGCTCATAACAACTTCGTTAAAAAATCGTTTGAAGTCTTTGCATGCTAGTGAATATGAAGGCTATATATATGTATGAAGATTAATACTGTTAAACCGGCCCTCAGGCTTACCTTTAGCAGTACAGCTGGGAGCTCCATCCGGATATCCGGATTTTCGAATCCAAACATTAACAATTATTTGTGTATTCGATTCGCCATACTCTTCCGCGAAATTATTCGATTGTTTCACGTACTGTGTGGCACGTAGCCCCTTCTTGTTGAAACCAGTTGTTGTCAAGATCAACTCCTTCAAATTGCGGCCAAAAAAGTCGGCGATCATCAATCTATACCGCTTTCCATTGACAGAGACGATGCCACCAGCTTCATTTTGGAAGAAGTACGGACCGATGATTCCACCTGACCACCAAAAAACCACACAGTTTTAACGGACAAAGTTTATTTTGATAATAAAATTGAATGACTTGGAAATTTCAAAATACATGAAACAATCAATACATTCACAAAACTATGGGCCTGATATAGTGAAACTGGTTTTTCTCTCTGACGTCAGAATTTTTTCAACGGACTTTGTAGTTTCCAATACATACATAAGTATATATTTAATTCAAAAAATTATTAAAAAAAATTCGGTGTAATATAGAACAAAAAAATGGGTACCAAATGATGGAGAAAATTCTGTAGAATAAATATATATTTTTTAGGAACTACTCGTCGTTTTTCTTTCTGATGGGGGATAAAAAGTGATATTAGGCGCACATTTCTTTGTGAGTGATCCGAGAATTATCCCGGACTAGTCGCATTTTTTGCAGGGTACATATCCATGAAAAGCATTCAAATTCGAGTGTTTTCGGTCATGTCATGGAAGAACATTTGCCGTTCGGAAGCTGCGCACAATTTTGAGTTCCTCCATTTGTGTTGTATCATCAAATTGGAGGAGAAGCGCGGCCAAACAATTAGCAATTAAAGCTCATAAAAACTACTTCATAGTTTTGTGTGTATATTTCTTATTTCCGAAAAAAATAAGCTTATCTGCTCTATGTAAATATACACCTATAATTATAAATTAATTTAAAATTTTCATTGTATTAATAATCATTTATTTTAATAAGCTGGCATTAATTGTACTACGTTCTCTTTTGCTGACATAAAAAAAGAACAACAAAAATATATTAAAGTGATCATAGACTTTCAAACACAAATAGCGTTTAAGGTAAATTTATTAAAATAAAATTATTGACAATGTAATTGTATATATGTATGCACATAAAAATAAAATATGAAAAAAAATTTAATAAAAAACTTGCAACTGTTATTTAAAAGCAATAAGCCAACAGCACTGACATTAGTTGTAGGCTAATGTGAAAAGTGTTGAAAGGAAGACAATGTAGTCGAAAATTTAAAAGCAGTAATGTTAATTAACCTAAGCAAAAAATAGCAACGAACAAAATGAAACAGGAAAGCAACAAAGAAATCATCAAACTCAACGAAAAAAAAATAAAATAGGAACTACATAAGAAGAGTCAGTGATTTTGTTATACAGTTTAGTGCGAAAAAATAGCACTTTCCTTTATTTAGGTATATCTACTAAAAATATACATTTACATGAATTTTAAATACATACATACATAAATAGAAAAGATTACTAAAATAATCGTATCATCCAGCAATGCGAAATGGGCAGGAGTTAAAATTAATCGCTGCCAAATTGTGTTTTTTTAATTTTTGTTTCTTTTTTTATCAGCAAACACAATTTTATAACATCCCGAAGGAATAAGAATTTTCGCATACTTCAAAAGTAATTTATGGTCACTGCTATTTTTCGTACAGCATTGTAATTAACTAAGTTACCTTATAATAGTTTGTTTATTTTTATTTTTTATTCGCCACTTGTAAGAAAATTTCAAATTTAGAATCTATACATAACATAAAATAAAGTCAATATTTTTGAACACGCTAATCAACAAAATTATTAAATGGTTTCAATGAAGTTTTCGTAGGTTATTCCCTAGTCATCTGGTCCCAATATAGGCAACCAAATAACTCACCAGGTGGCGCTGGAATCGAGATATCTAGACAATTTGTATTTATGAACCGATTTGTTTCAAGCCTAAAAGGCCAGTATGCAGCTCTCAAGAAAACGTTCAAGAAAAAATTGTCATTATTTCGTCTGTGTGTCCAAGGAATGTTGACATCTGATACTTCACCAGCCCGTTGCCTCACTCTTTTCTCAGCAATAATGGAACGGGCATGCATTTCTGTTGCAGGCATGGGATGCCTTGTGCTGTTTTGCTCAAAAAACTTTAGAAAACCGTAGCTGAAAGCATAGAAAATTTCTTAAGAACTGCGTACTGCCTCAAGAAAATTTTACACAAGAAAATTTCTTTGCCATTTCTTATACGTCATTTTATATAGAGTTTTTGCTTTTCTTAAGAGCTGCAGACTGGCCTAAAAAATTGAAAGGGGTTCAGAACGATTCATTTCTAACTCATTTTTTAACGATTTTCCTCGAAAATATGTTTGGGGAGAGTTGCCACCTTTTTAGAAACACAAAATCATTTTAAGTGACAAGCTACATAAAATCCTACTAATATCATGAATTTGAAAGTTTGTGAGCAAGTGCGAAAATATGTTTGCTGCTCTTTATTTCGAAAACATTTTCAGAAAGGGTTACCACCTGCTTAAAAGTCGAATTAAATTTAATCACTTACTTAAATGAAATATTACAATATCGGCGTCAAACGAAGCATGTATAAGAAAGCATTATTTCGAAAAAAAATTTTTTGAAGAGAGTTGCCACCTGCTTAAAAAATCAACTCAATTTAACGAAGTATTATAATATGGATGTCAAGCGAAGGATGTTTACTATGAAAACGATTTTGAAAAAGTGCCCCAGTTTATTTTTTTTTATAATTTATATTTATTTATTGAATCTTTGTTAAAAAAAAATAAATTAAGTTTCCACCTTTCCGAAATTTCAATCTATTTATTCGGTTCAAGCTAAAGGAAATGAGATGGCAATATGAAACCAAAAGTGTTGGTATATGCTTTTATTCAGACACATCTTTGAAAAGAACTGCCACCTATAAAAATTATTTCAAAAATTTATGTAGCATAAATACCAACTGCGAAATGTTAGTGGTTTTTTATAGGTACTGAAATGGCGATTTTAATTGAAATTTAACACATTGACTATGTTCTGGATGCTCAGCACAATAAGTAATTTTTCTTTAATAGTAATAAATTGTAATTTTTCAGTTTTAAAATTTGTTTTCTTTTTTGTTGCATTTGAAATCATAACGTTATTTTATAATATTTGTAATTTCTCATCAAGTATGCAACCTCGTCCTTTTAATTTCCTTAAGTCTTACATTTTCAGTTGTTAACCATTGCCATGCAGCGCATATACAAACATGCATACTATAGAAATGTATATACATTAGGGTGCCTCACCTAAAAAAGTCGCCGTTTTTCCACGGGTATTGGGAAATGCATTATTTTTAAAGACTTCTGCTAAAATATTTCGGAAAAATATTAAGATTAAAACTTCTAAAAATCGAGTTTTTTATAAATAAAATTAGTTTTTAAATATATTTATTACAAAAACCCACCTCAGGTGATAAAAGAGTTTAAGCTTAAAAGGACTTCATAAAAATGTTTGAACATTTTATCAACACAATCAAAATATTTAGATTTTTGGAGGTATTTTCAAATCGCGCTAACTTGCGTCAATCTTAATATTTTTTTAGGAATATTTTGGCGAAATTCTCAAAATATAATAAATTTCATAATTCCGATGGAAGCACAGTAACGATTTGTTTGTTTTTTCTATGGAGAGTGATGCACCCTAATGTTCATATACATTTGTTATACATAAGGTGTTGTCCATGTGTTCCCTGCTCATTTATTCTTACACTAAATAGTACTTATTCCACACACTTCGTTTTTACGAGTAGTTCATTAGCATCACTGCAGGGTTTCTCTCTTGTCTATGTTTTATGCGTGGCCTTTGCACGGCAGGCAGGATCGCTAGTTCCTACTTATCAAATACTCGCATTACGTTTTCTAAGCCCATTCAACGCATAATGCCCAATTTTAAGTATCCATGACAAATGGGTGTAAAAATGCGATCAGAAATTATTTCACATACTTCAAATTATATGTATGTATGTATATGCATGTGTAAGTATTTGAACATACATATATATATGTGCATATATGTATGTATGTACATAAACACATAGATTTGCTACAAAGCCGGGAAAGAAACACGGCAATCAGCCTAAATTCGTCAAAGTCATAAACTCCAAAACCGAATTTATTCGCTTAAGAAACGGCTTTTGTTCTTAACAAAAATTGCTAAATTTAGATATTTATCGGCTATAAAATCGAAGAACTGCAGACAATCGAAAGCCACTGTCAGATAGAAAAAAAAATATATATATTTATTTTCTGAAAAAATTCTAACAAAATCTTGTTGAGAAAGTAGTTAAGCCATAAACGAAAAACTTTCAAAAAAAAAAAAAGAGAATCCGCTTCAAGGCCAATGAAATTAATTACTTAAATCGCAGTTTATTTCAACGAAAAAAATGGGAATTTCGGTAATTATAAAGAAACAAATTACAGGTATAAGCTTTCAAATTTACATGTGCACCTCCAAACAAGCAAATAGCAAATACACATGCGCATAAGGTTGTGCTTAAGTAGTATTAACATGTATGTATGTATGTATGTATGTATGTACATAAATAAATAAATGTTCACAAATATAAACGAAAAGAAAAAACAAGTTTTCAACTTGACAATCTAACACAAATTAATCAATGTCGAATTTTTGTGTGGAATCAAATGGCCATATAAATTGCTGTTGAAAAAGTTGTAGTAGAAGAAGAAGAAGAAGAAGCGTCAATTAAAAGTTATTCGGGAATTATATACTCATTGGTATAGGTACTCGCATATGAAAATTTTCATATATTTATGTACTTTTATGTGTGTATGGAAATTTATAGCAACAAGCGAATCAAACGAAAACATGCTAATGTAAAGGGGTTTTAAGCAAAGGAATACTGGTTTAATCCATTGAAGAAGCAACATACATATGTATGTATGTATATTAGAAAGCGAATGGATATGACGCAAATAAGAAAGTATTTTTTAGAGGCCTCTTGTGAATCTTTAGCTTAGGCTAAATTGTTGATCTTATTTTAAAATAAGATCCAAAATCGAATTTCGTTGTGTGTAAGACGTCAGAGGATCAAACAGAAAAATTCTTTATGTTTCTTTAGGTCATGATCATGGGCGGATTTACGAAAAAGGGCCCAGTTAGCAATCACTTCGGGGGCCCAGTTTTGCTATCATACACATATCATGAACCAACAAATATTTTCGGTACGTCAAACAATTATTGAATACAGAAAGATTTTACTATGCAACTTTGAATCCGTGAATATTTCCATTACGGAATCCACGCTCACTGAGTTTGCCACTAATCTTTCAATATAAAGCATAGAGAAATTATTGAGTGTGGCTTCAGCTAAAGAAGCACGACGATATTCTTTAACGATGTCACTTGGCTAGCGATGATCGCAGCGCACAGTGGGACGTCTCCATATAAGCTGCG